AGGTCGCACCCTCTACCTCTGGGTACTACTCTAGCTTCATAGGAATGGATTCTACGTGCCGTGGAATTAGAGGCTGCTGCTCTGGGTTGAGGCTGACTAGAGCCTGACGGACGGACGTCATCTATGGCCTCTAGTGTCCTGTGACGCTCAGTGAGGAAATTATTTAACTCCTGCCAAGTGGGAACATCGACCTTGTTGTGGAGCGACTGCTCCCAGAGGGAAAGTGTTAACTTTGGAAGTTTGGCGGAGACCATATAAACCAATAGGCAATCCCATTTGTCGGTGCTAATATCGCTCGTTTCTAAAGCGGTAAGGCAACTCTGGATGGTGTCTTGAAGCTCTCTCTTAGCTGGCCCAGATTCCTGAGTGATTGCACATTGAACAGTATTTTCAAATGACTGTTTACTAACAACCGTTTGTTTTCGAAACGCTTAGTTAGGTTATCCCAGGCTGAGCGAAAACCATCGTTAGTCAAAGCCGACTTTGCTACTATTGTGTGTGCTTCGCCACTCGTTTTGGAGCTCAGGTGGAACAATTTCTCGACCGGCGTCAATCTTGGATTGTTAATGTAAATCGCCGTCCCTAAACGTCGGCCAGCGAAGATAATCGCCGGTGAAGACCTCGGTATCGCACGGAGGTAGCCGACAACCTGAAGGAACATAGGTCTGGGACGGATCAGCTTGTGTTTGGGGGGTTCGTGGACCTTGCGCAGTAAGATCCTCTATGTTCGCACCACACCTTTCGTAGACGCCGTAGCAATAGTTGTATTTCGCTCGGAGAATTGGCAAGCTATCAGCTGCACTGTCTCCGGCTGAAATCAGGCGTACATTGCACTCATCGTACTGCCCGGACCTCTTCGCGTCGGATATTTAGCATGGACATGCTCGGAGGAGTCGGCGCCGGAGTGTTGCATCTCGCTTCGAATTCACTGAGTCGATCTGAAACCTCAATGAACTGATTCAGCGCAAAATCGGACGCAGCTAGAGCCATCTTTGTGTCCGAACGAGTGTGTCTTCCTTGGGGAGAGGGAGTCTTATTGGACGGTTTAGGTGTGGGCGGCTTGACAAACAAATTTTTGACCTTTGCTATAGGAATTGCACTCTTGAAAAAAATTTGTATTTAGCTGACTTGAGGAATTTGTCTCGCTAAAAGGAAACGGTCCGTGGAAGCGACGATAAACCAAAAAAAAAGAAATATATGCCCAGTGGAAACGGGGTATATTTAAATTGCACAGGAGCGAATATTAATTGCCAAAAAAAACCCAGACTAATTAAATAATATTTACTCTTAATGTTTTGGATATGTAAAAACGGGATTATTATTTTTTTTGTGGTATGCTGGTATTTATTATTTTTTCTAAAGGAATTTTATGGAACCAGACAAAGAAATAAATTAAAAAAAAAAATTATTTTATGTTGCTGGACAAAAAAAAAAAACAAATCAAATAATAAAAAAAATTAATCTCCAAGTATTTGGTATTTTTAATTTAATTTGATTGTATTATTAATTTTGTGTTGTTGTTGGAATTGGAATTTATTTATTACAGCTCAGAAATAATTTATTTTGTCTTTGGAAAATTTTTCTATGTTTATGACCTTATGTCGTGTATAAGGCCCTTGCACTAGATGTCGTGCAACGGCTCCCTAATGGGTATGGGTGTATATGTGTATGCAGTTGGAGTGCTGGATTAATCCAGCATGCAATATGAGCGTTTTCGGAGCGTTTTTTGAACCTTTCTTTTGGGTAAAAACACCCATAAAGTGTTCCGAAAAGATACCGGAAAGAGCGTTTTTCCTCTTGAAAATGGTCCGTCATAAGGATGGTAATTTGAGAGTCCGATAAGTGCTCTTTTTTGAATCCTAAATAGGTGCTTTCACCCTCCGAATGAAGCAGTGAAAGCCCTCAGAAAACGGACATAAAAGTAGCCTTTCCAGACACCTAAATCACCCCTTAAAAATACTTTTAGGAGCGTTTTAAACAGCACAAAAAGATACTTTTAGGTGCGTTTTAAACAGCACAAAAAGATACTTTTAGGTGCGTTTTTCAGGCACTTAAATCGCCCCAAAAAGTTACTTTTTTTACTCATTTGGATTTCATTTTTATTCATTTACTTATTTATTATTTAAATTGTAAAAATTGTGGAATGCCAACGGCATTTCACGGCATAAACTGGAAATAGCTCAATTCCTAAATGCAAATCACATCGACGCCATGTTGCTGGTTGAAACTCACCTCACAAGCAAATATAACTTCCATATACGGGGGTATACCTTCTACCGCACAGATCATCCCGATGGTAAAGCCCACGGCGGCACCGGCATCTTAATTAGAGAACGCATCAAACACCATTTTCACCAAAGGTTTGCAACAAATTACTTGCAAGCCACGTCTATAAAAGTGCAGTCAGGAAACGACAACCTTTGCATCGCCGCTGTCTACTGTCCACCTCGCTTTACAATCTCTGAAGGTCAATTCATGGAATTCTACAACTCACTTGGGGACCGCTTCATAGCTGCTGGAGATTACAACGCTAAGCATACGCACTGGGGATCACGCCTCGTTACTCCCAAGGGAAGGCAACTTTATAATGCACTTATAAATGTGAGAAATAAGTTGGACTACGTTTCTCCTGGTAGCCCCACATATTGGCCAGCAGATCCTAGAAAGATCCCAGATCTAATTGATTTCGCGGTTACAAAAAACATCCCACGCAACCTAATAAGCGCCACGGCCCTACCCGATCTCTCATCAGACCACTCTCCATTGTTGATAACCCTTCTTCAAAGCCCAGATATTACGGACTACACCTACAGGCTGACGTCGCACAGAACTGACTGGATGAAATATAAGAAGTACGTCAGTTCCCACATTGAGCTTAACACCCAGCTCAATATCGAAGAGGACATCGACTGCTCTACCGCCGCCCTGGAAGAGGTACTCGTCACAGCAGCCAGGATCTCAACACCACAACGACATGATGTGAAAATAAAGAAGTTCAAAACCAACCTGCAAATCGAACAGCTCGTTCTGGAAAAGAGGCGTCTGCGAAGGGCGTGGCAAGCCAGCAGATCGCCATGCTCAAAGCAACGTCTAAATGAAGCCACCCGCAAACTAAACCGGGTTCTGAAGCAAGATGCCGAAAACGCACAACTGAGATATATCGAGAAACTCTCTCCAACAAGTGCAAAGCATCCTTTGTGGAGGGCTCACCCAAATCTAAGCTCTCCGGCTGAAACCGTCTCCCCGATAAGAAATTCTTCAGGTGGCTGGGCGCGCAGCGACACAGACAGAGCCGAAACATTTGCCTCACATCTCAGGGGCGTCTTCCAACCGAATCCCGCCGCAAGTCCTTTCGTTCTACCGGAAATCCAAACTGAAAGCGAATCCACAATACCATCGTTTCGACCGAATGAGATCACCAAAGTCATTCGAAGGCTAAAACCGAAAAAGGCTCCCGGCGATGACCAAATAACTCCGAAAATGATAATTGAACTTCCAAACTGTGCTATTGAGGTCATCTGTAAACTCTTCAATGGGATCATAAGTCTTGGCTACTATCCAAAAAAATGGAAAAAGTCAACAATTATAATGATACCAAAGGTCGGAAAAGATCACACGATTCCGTCCTCTTACAGACCAATAAGTCTTTTATCATGCCTGTCGAAACTGTTCGAAAAAATGCCTTCTAACACGCATTTTACCATATATGGGAGCTCATAACATTATCCCAGCCCACCAATTTGGCTTCAGAGAAAAACATGGAACTATCGAGCAAGTAAACAGAATAACATCAGAGATTCGCACAGCCTTCGAACATAGAGAATACTGCAGCGCGATATTCCTCGACGTATCCCAAGCATTCGACCGTGTCTGGCTCACCGGTCTTATGCATAAAATTAAAACACACTTTCCCGGGTACACTCACAAATTACTCGAGTCGTATCTCTACAACAGAGTCTTCGCAGTGAGGTGCAATACAACAACATCCGAAAACTATAAAATCGAAGCTGGAGTCCCACAAGGAAGCACACTTGGACCAACTCTATTCGTCCTCTACACAGCGGATATTCCCACGAGCGAGGGACTACTAACATCCACCTTCGCTGACGATACTGCGATCCTCAGCCGCTCCAGATGCCCAGTCCGTGCAACAGCCCAATTAGCCAACCACCTCACGGTAAGTGGCTATCCGACTGGCGTATCAAAATAAACGAACAGAAGTGTAAACACGTAACGTTTACTCTCAACAGACAAACTTGCCCTCCGATCTACTTGAATAGAACAAAGATCCCCCAAGTCAACGAAGTAACGTTTCTCGGCGTCCACCTCGACAGACGTCTAACTTGGCGTAGACACATCGAATGCAAGAAACTACATTTAAAACTAAAAGCCAGCAGCCTCCACTGGATTATAAACGCCCGATCGCCCATGTGTCTGGACTACAAGGTACTGCTCTACAACTCCACTCTTAAACCAATCTGGACGTATGGCTCCCAGCTCTGGGGAAACGCGAGCAAAACTAACATAGACATCATACAGCGCGCTCAAGCAAAGATCCTGAGAACTATCACTGGGGCACCATGGTATATTCGAAACGAAAACATCCACAGGGACCTTGGCATTCTCGCAGTAAAAGATGAAATAGAAAAGCAAAAAGCCTCATACAAGGAAAAACTCTCAGCACACCCAAATCCTCTTGCAAGAGATCTGACTCGGGTTTCCAGAAGAACCCGCCTGCAACGTAACGACCTTCCAACCCAGCCATAATTTGTCAGGGCCATTTTTTACTGTTCCAGTCTATATGACTGATAGTTAGGTTATAGTATAAGATTTGATACACTTATTGTTAGTCTCGTAAGGAGAAGATTCAATAAATAGAGCAAAGCTACAAAAAAAAAAAAAAAAAAAAAAAATTGTAAAAATTAAACATTATAGTATTCAATATAAACTTAAACATTAAACATACTTTATAAATTTTTTCCATTATATTAATTTTTGTTTCATTTTCAGTTTTTTATCTTATTTTTAAACAAAATTTACTAGTTATTTACTTTATTTACTGACTTATTATAATATTTAATTCTATCCGAAGCAGTCTGGAACCATTTGCCGCATATTGTTGGAAATGTTTTATCATCAACCGAAAATTTTTGATTGAAAGCTCCTGGAATAAAAGAAAAACAAATATTAATTAAATTGGTTAATGAAAGGCATTTAAAATACAATGATTACCTCTAATTGTTGTTGTTAATGTCATGCTTAGAATGCATTTTTTGCAGTTCGTCCCTTTCCAAGAATATTTTGTTGCAAGTTCGTCTGTAAATATCTTCTTAAGAATTGTCCGTACAAATTTGGAAGGGTCAGCAATGTTGTAGTTCAGAATTTCGGCCTCCTATAAAATATAAAAAAATAGAAAAAGACTGTTTTAGTTTCATGAAAAAGAGCGATTTTATTCTGTCTTACCAGTTGTTCGCACAATTCAGATGAATTATTTAAGCTGCTTTCAAACTTGTCAATATCATCTGTGTTCTTGAACGGTTTTGGTGGCAGCAGCACGCGAGTTCTATTTCCTGATGATATTTTCCGTTGAGTTACTATCTCTGTCAAAAGGCGAGTTTGAAGATTTAAATTTTCAGCCTCCAATTTGTCCATTCGTTCTATGTATAAAATGAAAAATTAGAATATGCCCAGTAATTATTATATATTATTATATGTACATATATACCTGTTAAATTTTTATTTATTAATTGCAGCATATCTGAAATTATACAATTTAATTAATATCTTAGAAAAAAGATTTTACAAATATATTTACTTGATGTAGATGGACAGTTAGAAGAAGTAGTTAACTCGGTATAAGTAGCTGATTCTGCTGACTGGGTGTCCTCGTTTACAAAAGTCTCAGTGAAGTCAGACATTATGAATAATTTTGGTTAATGTAATTATCTGGATGTTTGTTTATGTTTATTATGTTTATATGTTTATTTCCTTCGCTGAGCATCACTGACGGTGGAGACTCACTGCAGCGTCGCTTAGCTCTAAGAGCATTAATTATTTTTTCGACTCATTTCGGCTTGATCTTCGATCACTCATTTTTATTATTTATTGTCAATATATTTATATATTTATAAAGATATTTACGTTTATTTTTTTAGTATTTTAATTTAACTTGCACTTCACGTGTTAAACCGTCCGACTTTCACTTTCGTAATGAGCAAACTGAAAATTTTCTAGCATTTTCTTGTCGCAAGAATCTGCAGTCCGTTATTCTAATCGAGCCCTTTACTTTGTGTTTACTTTCCATTATCTCCCAAAACGCACCGAAATCGCTCTAAAATATGTGTTTACTCCGAAAACGCTCCTAAATCGCTCTGAAATATGTGTTTACTCCAAAAACGCTCCGAAGCAGGGCTCTTTTCAGACACCTAATTCGGAGCGCTCCTAACTTTGCATGCTGGGTTTGGATATAAATGTATGTATGTATGTATGCAGTTCCAAAAGTGCCTTGTCGTGGATGACATGGACGACTACCCACCCTGCAGTTCCAAAAGTGCCTTGTCGTGGATGACATGTACGACTACCCACTGATGCGGGGGTCCGAGGCACCTGGAGCCGCACTGGTGCCATTTCATATAAAGCTCTTGTATAGCATTTAAGGATTTGACATGCATGTCGCTCTCGATGACCATTTTGTCCGAGTCATCGAGCGAGGCATCGATGGCTTATACGAATTTTGTACAGAGAAAATTCGTATAAGCTATTGATGCTTTCGTTGCTGGCGTGGAGGCGTTGTTGTCATCTATGCCAATGTCTAAAATGTCATCCCCAAATTCATATGAAAAACAATATATATATATATATTTTTTTAATTTATTAATTAATCTTATTTTGAAACATAAGAGATAAGTACATAAATAATATGAAATTAGAAAGTTTTTGTTTACCATTTATGTGGAATATTTGCAGGACAACGCCTGTTTTGCGTCCATCTATGGTACAAAAAATATTTTTATTATTACATATTATATATGTATTACTTTTTTTATTTAAAGCAAACTTACCTTTCAAACGAATTTATCGTACAGACAGGCTGAATCCTAAAAAAGATTTAAATAAGTTTGTAGTAAAAGACATAATATTTTTGTAATCTTAACGACACTTACATGATTTTTAAACAATTCCGCTCCCCGTTGCGCAAATTAAGTAATTTCACAACTAACTGTCAACGCACAACGCAAAAGAATGAGCAGTTCAATTTTATTTTGCACCCTTTTAGTATACCCTTCTTTTTTTGGGTATAACCGACCATAAATGACACGCGAGTTATATTATATCTATATTTGCAATCAATGTTATGTTATGGTTATGGTTATCTTGGTTCAATAATTTAAATAATGTTGTATATATAAAATATATTATATATGTATATAACTTTATATATATATTATATTTAATATTTTAAGAACTTTAACATCAAAAGAGTATACATAAGTCGAGCGCCCCTTAGCCGTATTTTCCATCGAAAACCAATTTGTTGTTTCTAACGGAGAATGACAACAGTGCAATTAGAAAAACGAAAGAATAGAAGACAAATTTGGAGTCGGGCCGCCGTCGGGTGGAAGCAACGAGATCGTATTCGAAGAGTGAGAAAGAGGGGGAAACTTAGGAATATACCTTTTCCTTTCCTACACATTGATTGCTTGTATGCCAAAAGACACTAGGTGACAGCCAGAACTGCAGGGTACGTACATATGCGCGTTTGTGCAGTTTGGAAATGAAACACACTGAAACCAACAAAGTTTTCCGCTTCGGTGGTGGATTTTAATGATTTAATTTTATTTGCACGGAGGCCGACGGAAAACTTTTAATGTTGGTATATTTTCGCTGTGGGAAGTAGAAAATATGATGTATGAATATATGGAATATATTTGGAGATATATGTATGTATGTGCGTTTGTGCAGTTCGCGCTCACGCCAAAAAAAATGTTGGAAATAAAAACACACTGAAACCAACAAAGTTTTCCGCGTCGGTGGTGGATTTTAATTATTTATTTTATTTTACACGGAGGCCGACGGAAAATTTTTAATGTTGGTATATTTTCGCTGTAGGAAGTAGAAAATATGCTGTATATGGAATATATTTGGAGATATATATGGAATATATTTGGAGATATATGTATGTATATATTTGTGGCGGAAAATTTATTTAAATTATTGCCGGCGGGTATGTGTTGAGCTTTCGATTTTTATTTACAGGGTTTTTTTTTGTTTAGATGTGATTCTTCTTTTAATTTTTAATAAAGGCCTAACATATGTATATCTATGTAAAGGTAATATTACAAACTTTAATATACCATTTTTCAAATTTCGATTTTTCTTAGTATTATACAAGTTATTCGCGTTTAAAGTTGCAAAAAAACAAAAACCGAATATTAATGTGATACACTGTAGTGGACTGTATTGGAAGAAAAGGTGTGCAATATATTTAGCGTAGGACTACAGTGAAAAAAAACACTTTGAAATTGGGGGCCTTTTTCGGCAGAACACTTGGAATTTTTCACAGAACTTATTTTCTCACTGTTCACTTGGAATATTTTGCACACTTTACACTTTTCATTAACTTTTGGAATTTTCACTTTTTATTAAAGTTTGTATGTATGTGTACAGTTTTACTTTGATGTACGGGCCAAATGTACTTAGAAATTTTGTACAAAGAGGAATTGGAAATAAATGGCGGCACGATCAAAGAAAAACGGAAAATGGAAGAGATCTTATTAATTACCGTTTTCGGATTAAATCGGACTTGGATTTTAGAAAAAATCATGCAGAAAGTCAAACGAAACAGTGTTTTCGAGTGGCTGACTGCAGACCGGCAAATTAATATTGATCTTCGTACTTATTTTGCTGGGTCAATCTGGCTCGATTGGATCAAAAAATGAAGTGATGGGGCGTCCGACTGAAGGCAGCAAAACTTCTTGTGGGCAGCGACGGCTGGCGGTGTTAAGCTGTAGGGGTGGAAAAAGCACTCGGCGATCGCGGGAAGGAAAAACACTTGGATTTCGGGTAATAGCGCGGACCGGCCGGGTGTTTATTCAAACGATGGCGAATTTGGTACTAACTTAAGCTTTTCTAAGCTAGGCGCTTGGGGCGCAGCGGAGACCTCTTGCGCTCGGGGAGTGGAGAGCCTGGACGGCCGAGCGTGAGACGCTCAAAGCTCCGGGAGAGGGAGAGTGCGGTGTGGGGAGAAGCTCAGGGAGAGGGAGAGCGGGAGAGGCCTGAACAGGTAATCACATACCGGTTTCTTTATTGATTTTTGACGACGCTTTTAACATAGTTTGCACTGTCCGATTTAAGTGCTATATGTACCGTTGTCTTCGATGATTTTCTGCCATTTTAATGGTAACTTCTATATGCCTCTCCTAAAAAAGTCTCTGTCCCTTCTGGCAAAAAACCCGGCGATTCGATTTTCACAATCCTCCATTGAATTCAATTTTTGTCCATCGAAAAAATTTTGCATGGCCAAAAACAGATGGTAATCGCTTGGGGCAATATAATACTGTAAGGACTATAAGGTTGATGCATTAACACTTCCCAACCAAGCTCCCGTAGCTTGTGACACGTCACCAAAGATGTATGGGGCCTGGCGTTGTCATGATGGAACACAACGCCCTTGCGATTCACCATGGCTGGCCGCTTCTGTTCAAGTGCAATCTTCAATCGCTCCAGATGTTTACAGTAGAGGTCAGAATTGATGGTTTGGCCATAGGTCAACACTTCATAATGGATAATTCCCCTGATATCCCACCATACACTCAGCAACACCTTCTGAGCCGTCAGTCCTGGCTTTGCCACCGTTTGAGACGACTCACCGTGCTTCGACCAGGATCTTTTACGCTATATGATGTCATATGTGATCCATTTTTCATCACCAGTGACTAACCGATCCAGAAATGAGTCGAGTTTATTACGCTGCAATAAAGATTCGCAGATTGATACTTAATTTTTGCCTATGGACGGTTTCCGTGCTTAGTTGCAGCTCCTCTGCGATGGTTCTAATAGTCACATGATCTTGATCCACTATTTCCATGCTTTTACCAGTATCAACGGTCACTGGAAGTGTTTCGGTATCTAAATTGCCACTTCGGAATCACCTAAACCACTGTTCGGCGGTTTGAATCGAAAGTTTGTTATCTCCTAAGACAGCAATTATCTGTCTGCGAAATTCCGCAGCATTTGAATGTAAAAACCGGTATGCCATTACCAAAAAACCTAATATTTTTATTCTCCATTACATTTGTTCGTGAAATAATATATTTCGGATTATGATATAATTGGGAAAATTAGGAATTTTAATTCATTTATGGGTAAGGGAATAATGTGTGTGAGTTGGTAACAACCCTACAGTTCCAAAATTGCTTTGTCGTCGATGAAGTGTGCGAAGCCGCACCGACGACAACGGGGGTAGCAACCGTTGCCGCAGCGACTCAATTTCATAGAGACATTTTATATGGCATCGCCGTTTTCGGGATACATGTCGCTCTCGATGAACTTTTTGTTCGTTTCATCGAACGAGTCGTCGGTGGCTTATACGAATTTTGTATGGAGAAAATTCGTATAAGCCATCGTTGCTTTCGTAGCTGACGTGGAGGCGAAGTTTTCATCGATGGCTTTTGCGAGGATGCCCTTAGTGAAATCATCTATGTCAAGCCTAAAATTGTCATCCCCAAATTCATATGAAAAACAAAATACATATTTATTTATTTCTTTTTTATTTTATTAAAATATTTTATTTTGTAATATAAGAAATAAGTACATAAATAATATGAAATTCGAAAGATTTTGTTTACCATTTCTGTGGAGTATTTGCAGGACATCGGCTGTTTTGCGTCCATCTATGGTACAAAAATATTTTTATTAT